TATGAAGATCACAAAGAGGTTCCACAAGCAGGATTAAACAAGAAAAAATCATATGACCAACTTGAAACTGTTGCAAAATCTGTGTGGAGAAATCTTTCACCCCCATGTGAAATTCCCAAATGTGTGGTTTCCTATTGAAATTACTTGTTTTTTCCCTCAGAATTTAGACAAACAACCGTAAATGTGACTGCGTATTTATGCTCAGTAAGCAATTGTAGGGCCTGGTACAAAAAAAAATCACTTTCCAGGGCTGCATTGGTTGAAATCGCGTTCCCTTGTCCCCCTCGGATGAAATTGTGATTTCTTTACAATCCAAGCCCCCTTATGCTTGCACCCGGGATACCCTTTTTTGGCGGCCCTGCTCACAACCCAGTATGTGTGAAACTGGGCCTAAGGATAAATGCGAGAATATCTAATCTCATATATTCAACACATTCCACAAGATAAAATCCTACAGAGCCAACTGGTGTTCAATGACAACATGTCTTAAATACTGTTCCTAAAAAGGAAGCAGCATTCAGAAAAGCTACTAATATTATTTTCAATAAATCTGCAGTTTGGAAGAATCTGCCATGGCTCCAGGCAGGCTGTACACAATGTTCACTCACTAAAATACTGCCCTCCTTCTTCCATGCTGGCTGCAAAAAGCCATTGCTGCCAGGCAAATACTTATATTGGTCACAACAGTAACATCTACATGATAAATTACAGACTTCGTACAATTTTTTTGTGTGCACTTGATAATTATCAACAGCTCTGAACCTATATGACTGACCTCAAAGAATGGGGTTCAATAGCACATTACCTCTGATACTGGAATGACAATGCTTTCACCTTCCTCAGTCACATCTGGCTCTTTTGCAGGAGGTTCAACTGGGGTCTGTCCTAGGTCCTCTGTATCTTTCACCACTTCGTCTTTGATGACATCTGTGACTGGGACTTCTAATGCGACTGCAGGAGGAACTTCAGCAGGAACATCAATGGGAGCAATCACTGGCAGGGGAATTGGAACGGCAACGGGACACGTTGAGGTTTTAACAACTGGAACTAGAGCAGGAACTGGGGCAGGGAAAGCACACACTCCTGGGGTTCCCTTTCCAGAGGAGGCGAACCACTCCTCCAGAGCCTTTCTCTGGGCCTGCTGCTCAAAACAAATAAAAGAATGAGAAATTATTTGAAATCAGAACCATTTTATTTCTTATCTTTAGTTCACTTGACCGCATAATGGTATTAGACAGGGTTTAACAAATTCACTAAGAGTTTACATAAGTGAACAAAAGTTGGCCGTCTAATGGCAAAAAATGGCTGAATCCAATTGATTCAGACATGCCTAGTCAAGCGAGTTGGAAGAGTCAGCACCCCTCGGAACTCTGGATGGGGCTAAACAGAATGGACAAAAATGCTAATCACATCATAATGGAACCATAATCGCATTATTATCACACTCACAACTTCATTATCCAAAAGCAAGGGCTGGCCAATGCGGTTTACATAGGCCTCAAAAGAATTTAAGCTCTCATTGTGCATGTATGGGGTGTACAGTGGCCAGCACAGTTAAGGCCAAATTATGCAACCATGTGTGAAGACCAGCATCAGCACTGACAAAGCCAAATCAGGCAAAACATGGGCCCGAGTCCATGAAACAGGCCATAACAGAATAAACGGTCTGGCATTTGGGGGAACAGAAGAGGTGGTTAGAAAAAAACAAAAAAAGCACATTTTGCTTCAAGGTTGTTCATTCTATAAAAACAGGAGAAACTAGTTTGGAAGATGGGCCTACAGCTGAAAAAGATGAGTTAATTGGATCTGGCAGCTGAGTTTTAAAAGATATTTCTTCTGCTTTGAAGCACTGGTTAGCAACAAACAGGGCATTGGAATGCACTCACCCCCAGTACTCACTATTTCCTATTTTACCAGGACGATTAGAGAGGGTGAAATGTGCCCTGTTTAGGACCAGCTGTGTCTTGGGGGCTTAACAGCTAGAGAGATAAAAGATACCCCTCTATTTCTGTACTTGTGTGAAAGGCAGTTCTGTTGATATGACCGCATGCCAAAGTTTTAGGACAATAACAACTACATGTTTAGCTAAGAATGAAAAGGGTGAGATTTTAATGACATGCACTTTAAAAAGCTGCTGTAAAATTCAAACAAAGAGTCCAGTGTTCACATGCACAAACTGTGTGTGTTTCATTATGTCACTGGTCAGAGAAGACAAAAATGTCTTGGAGTGGTGAGGCATGGTCAGTATAGTTCAACATTCCTTTGCACTGACAGAATGTAAACTAAATCACTTACCAAAAATATATTTATTAAAAATCAATGGGTTCATAATGGGTCAGTGATACACAAAACCAGTGGATGCAATGGTTTTTCTGGTGGTCTCTGGACCAACAGCCTCTGTAGGAATGTGCCCTGAACCATGTTAGGAATCAGACTGGCTGAAGGGATGTGCCAAAATCAACAAAAGTCCATATGAGTTTAGGGGTGGGGTCAAAAGGCAAGGTTTGGTTTGTTGCGCAGACAGAACAAAGAAACAAAAAAGCCACAAAGCAAACCAATCACACTCTATAGGTAAAACACACCCATAGAAAATGCAGAGTAATTTTTATTATTATGATTCTTGTATTTATTGTCATACACAGTGCTACACTGTGATAATGCAGAAGGGTCAGAAGTCAGGAATATGTTATTTGAAATGGTCATTTCAAATGAACATTCCAAGCAACACTTTTTTTCAGTACAATACATTAATTAAAAAGAGCAGTTACTAATGCAGTAAACCCTAAGGAATGAATGAATGAATAAATGAATGAATAAATAAATAAACAAATTAATTCATGAATTAATTCAGGTTTTATACAGAAAATATTTACAAAAATATTATAAATTGTTATTATATTCTATTTATTAATTAATCCAAATGTTTCTAGAGATACAAAGTGGGACGTGTAATTCCTTTGCATCTCTGTAGCCTACTGGTTCCTATGGGGACACACCCCCTACTACAGATGCCACTGCAAGTAACATAATGTCAGAAAAGATTAATAAATTCTTCAGAAAATTATAAACATAATTTTTATTTAATATTTAAATAACATTAAATGTTATTTATAGCAGCAAATATACAGCAGGCTATTAAATAGCCTAAACAACATTAGCCTATTGGCGAAAGACTTCGCTAAAAATGCATTAGGCTATGCTACATTTTCTTAAAAAAACAAAAAAACAATTGCAAAGCCGACAGTGCAAACTTCAAGTATGAATTCAGTTTGGAAACTAAAAAATAAATCAGAATTGTTTGCAAGACAATCTGAAAAAAAAGTGTAAAAGTAAATGTAGGCTACTCACCACTTTTCTCATTCGGCGCTTGTTCTTCTTTCTCTTGCTAGGCATGTTTACTGTGAAGAGTGTGTAGAATGAAAGAATAAAAAGTGTATTTCTACGGTCGTGCGGTGAGGCAATGGATGACGAGCGGATCTGTGTCCGCTCTAGCAGTCAGATAACAGCAGTCAGAATGACAATATGGTTCTATTTAAAGGCGCGTTGATTTTTTTCATCTCTCTGTCTGCCTATGGGGGAAGGGGTTAGGAGCGCAGTCTACGCACCTCAGCATCAGTCTTCATCATCGTCATGACATGAAGTGGGCTGACCCCACAGCTCTTTGCAAGGTTGCGTAACATTATTGCAACTCCGGTCCGACAGCAAGTCACGTTTTAACGCTACTCCACATACACACGCGATTTCTAAGTAAAAATGGGTTGAAAACATATTGTAGTAAAGTTTGTTCAGGTAACTCGTCGAAAATCGTTTTAAATCGGTGTCTTGCACAAGTGGTGTTAGTGTTGGACTTGGCCTTGCACGAAGTAAAACGTCCACATTTAGATTTACCTTGGTAACAACTGCATATTCTACACTGTGTGTGAATATATGTGTGTACCAAATAAAAAAGCTGACCAATTTATTTTTAAAACTTATATATACAAATCTATGTGTACACATGGCTACTATAAGTTTAGTGATTCGAGTTCTGGTACATACACACATATCCTACACAAAGTTTCCAGTCTGAGATACAGTACATACATTCCTGCTCTATTTCTCTCAGTCACCACTACACACACACACACATAGCCCTAGCAGAGAAAGCATGCCTGAGGAACTGGAGTTGAGCTGTGATAGGTTGAGGAGTTACATAACTGGCATGCCTGGTAAAAGGAAAACAGAGTGCTTACAGTTTATTTTGATATTCCACTGAAGACATTCTACTAACTGTAACTAACTGTGCAACTACATATCAACTATAACTCTCATTCATTTGCATCGGTTAACGGGGTACGTGGGAGGAGGGGCACAGGTACTGAAGTGGCGCTGATACTGTTTAAGACTGTATATGTGGGGTCTATTTTCTAGTTTTAAGTCAATATTATGTATCACATTAGATTTTCAAACTTATTCTATACTTCTTATTGCCTTGTACTGTCACTTAGAAATTTTTTAATCAGGTAATGTGTTATGAAAATCTGTGGTATTCACAGCAAGCTGCATAGTTGAATAACAGGAGTATATGAATGTTTTTCAGTCATATTTGAACCTTTTGACCCCTCAAGAGTGAAGCCTAAAGTGCAGTGATAGTGATGCTATTTTACATGCTTTACCTCCAAAGGATTGGAGTTTTGTTTGAACTTGCAGGCTTTGTGTTAAACAAAATACTGAGACAATGTATGCATTTATTTTAAGTTGCTATGATTGTACAAATCAAGTACTGTTAAAAATATTCTGTTCTATAATGCGCATGTAAGTGAAATTTATTTTCATTAAACCTGTATGAACTGTATGCTTGATATTGATTGGAAGGAAATTACTTCCTGTATTTCATCTTATTTTCTATTTTAACTACATGTATTTTTTGGTCATTGGTGTAGAATGTTATCTACATTTCTGTAGATATCCTCAAGTCTGCCTTAACCACTCCTATTTACACACAGATTACAAACCCTTTTCTCTCATTCAAACACCTCCTTTCACTTCCATCCTTGGCCTCTCATTTTTCCATGTCACCCTCTGACACCCTGACACACTCCACTATCAGTTCAACTGTCATCACTGTCAGTACTTAAATCAAATCCTCTACCAGCTCTGAGGACATCCTTTCTGTTCATAGAATTAAAAATATTAATAAAAGACTAAAAAGCATATATTGTGTTCATTCTTTATTTTAAACAGGGAATATAATACTACATTATTTATTTTCAATTTCCTATGACTGTATACAGATACGAGCTACATTTATAATCATTTTCATTAACAATGTAACATAAATATGAATGTGCCCAACTTGTTATAAACAAGAAGTTTAGAACATCCTAAGGTTACTACAAACATAACAGGATAGTACTGGAAAGTTACATAAGCTTGTTTTTAGGTGCCTATTCCGCCAATTTGTTTATTTTATTATTCTTTTTCCTGTCTGTGCACTTGTCACTAAATCTGCATATCTGAGTAATAAAAGTGAGAAAATCCATGGGATTGGGTACAAGATTGCATGCGAAAAGCATGTCAGTGGTCTGATTTAGTGATTAAATTATTAATTATGATAAAATAAAAAGTTACATATTTCAAGTCAACATCTACAAAGGTCTGTCTAAACACTGAAAATGTAGGTGGATTCAAATATAGTTCATAAGTAGCATATTTGTCCATTAAAAAGCGCTTGTGACAAAGTACCGTGAAAAAGGCCCCAGACTCGAAAATGGTTTTGGGACATGCTAGCTGGTTTTTAGTTGGTCTAAAATGATCATTAGTTGGTAAACCATCTTGGACCACCAACAAACTAGGTGGTCAGGCTGATTTTTGGAAAATGGTGACTGGTTACAAACCAGCTAGACCAGCTTTATAACTTAACTAGGTTTTCCAGCAGAGACAGATAAAAACAATTTCAGCAGAACACGTTTGCTGATCAGCTGATGCCTGAGACGCTCACTAATCTCATATCTCTTCCCCTGAGGTCACTTTGTTTTCTTCTGCCCTTCTTTCAGGAAGGTGTTTCTATATTTCTCAGTCTGATAGTAATCAGAGTCAATGGGTCCTGGAGAGTCATTTAAGGTGAGGAACACATCTTCATTAGACACTGTCACTGTGTGGACTCTTTGCTTAATGCCTTTAGAGCACCAGGTTGGTTTCAGGGCCTTCACAGAAGGGTCCACTGCCTGATAGAGACCCTCACCTTCAGCTAATGTAATTTTATACTTATGCCACGGGCACACTATGCATGTCCGTCCATCAAAGTCCTTCATTGGCAAAAGAGAAAATCGAAAGTTAAAGCAAATTTGTGGCATTCAATATAAATAAGAAAAAAATTGCCTAATGAAAGTATTCAGAGCAACCCACCTCTATATCTCCTTCCTGAAGTGGACCTCCAGAGTCTTCAACAAAATTAAAGCATAAAAAAGCACAACAGTGTTATTTAAACATAGTGCTTAATATATGTGAACAGACACATTTTATGAACATACTAATGAGGACTGAAGATTGGCCTTAAATCTGTAAAATTCTGCGCAGGCAAAATAATTATCCATACCTAAACAATATATGTGTGTATGGCAAGGGAAAGAAAATTACATGGAAGAATGATATTAGAGTGAGTAAATAATGACAAAATTTTAATTTTGGGGTGAACTATCCCTTTAAGTCAACCGGCTCTTAACTTACGATAGCAGCGCACATCAATAGCATAGAAGTCCCCCTGGTGGTAAATCACCAGAACATCTCTTTCACCAACTGACTTCACCACTCGTCTGGCTTGAATTATATTCTCTTTCTTCCCTATGAAAAGAGTATGTCTGGATGCAGCTGCCACATCTTCATCAGAGCTCATGTTGTTTCCCCCAATCTTCGGACACTGTGAAATGGTCCAGAGGAGACAACATCAGAAATAATAATAAAATAGACGGACGGGCCGGCGGACAGACAGACAGACAGACAGACAGATAGATAGATAGATAGATGTGAGGTGTGAATGTGAAATCAGGTATCCATGTAACCAGCACTCACAAAGCGATGCATCTCTTTTTTATGCTTTATTTGAACATTTAGTTTACAGTATGGAACAACAAATTTAAAACATAGCAGTAATTATTAAGATTAACAGAAATAGAAAGCATAGAAAAACATTTAACAAGCAATAGCTCAAAACCAACAAAAAACTACTTCTATCGCAAAAATTTTAATATTGAAAATGTCTGCTGCCGGAGACTTACCGTTGGCTGTTGTTTTTGAATAATTAATGAGGTAGGTCTATTCAAGGGTTGTGCGCTGTTTTGGGAGTGTTTTTAAAGTCATTTATAAATATAATTACATTACATTAAGTTCCATTTTGTGTACTATATGTATTAATGTGCATTATATGCATTAATTAAAAAAGGTTTGTGAATCCCTGCATTACTTGTAAATAAGAAATAACGTGAATTTGTACATTTTAATGTGTTTGAAAGACAAAAGCCATCCAAAGACATAGTAATACATGGTTAAATAACCCATTGGTTAGTTTTTGTAAATCCAGTGTTCAAATGCTGTGTCGCCCTTTATTTTTCTGTGTAGATTACAGCCGCTTCTATACTGGTCTTTATGTGGATATTCACAAAACTGAACGACGTTCCGGGTGTATATAAGAAGTAGGATATTTCAGAAAGTACAATTTAAAAGATGAAACAGAATTAGGGGGGAAGAATATAATATATTATGAATTAAAAAAAAAATGCAACTGCAGTCTGGTTAACGTTACCTGTGTTTGACATTTATTTCTCAAAACGTGATAATCTTCTTTGGCATCTTTCTCATTTTGTCGCTTTTCAAGACAATTGATCAGCAAATATTTACGACTGAAATATTAAAGAGGAAACCACAAAATGAAACAATTCACAGTATTTTGGATCATTTCCGGTCATATCCAGCGCTTGCGTTTCAAAATAAGAGTTTCGACCGCAAATTTCTACTAGAAGGATGAACTTTTCTGTTTATAATAATAATAATAATAATTATTATTATTATTATTATTATTATTATGACGACAATTTTTTGGTGGTGTAATTTTAACACTTTTTAATTATCATGCTTTCAGGTTAAAATTTTTATTTATTTATTTTATTTTTTGTGAAAGTGTATATTTTAGGGCCAGTTTCTCACCATTTTTAATATTTTGCCTTTACTACTCATTTTCAAGGTACAAAGTTTCTGTATAAAAGCTAAATATAAAGAAAGACCTATAGCCTATAAAATTGGAGACCTATATATAAAAATGGCGTATAGTATGTCACCACAGGACATTAATTTTCCCTTGTATTTCATGTCAACTACGCGTATGTTTACTAGAATAAACACGTAAAACCCCTTAACAATATTAAACAAAGTTTAATGTAAGACCTTTAGATGGTGCTGTTGATACGCAACCCAGTTAGAGAAGTGGCCATATCTGTACATGTCCTGTAAGTTCAAAGACTTCAATTAATGTTTATGTTTACAAAGCTTTTTTCCTGTCCAGTTTTAAATCCACTCACATGCTTTTTGCCTAGTGTTTTTATGTTATCTGAGAAGTATTTTTTTTTTATTTAACAGTCCAACATTAAGAATAACATTTAAATGACAGTGGCACCTGGCCTCAAATGTCATTCTAAATACAAAAACAATAAATAAGCTTTACATTTAAAAACTATTAAGTTTAAAAACAATAAATACAAAGAGTAATAAGTGCAAAACAGACTCCGAATAGAGCATATAATGGCCTAGAACATTATTTATATAGGATTAGAATGAACGTCTATAGTTTGGGTAAAATTGAAACTTGGAAACCTATGGGATTTCAGTCTGAAGATAAATGCTTACACTAATGTGAATAATTAATTTATTGACTAGGTGACTTATTTCTGAATCTCCAACACAGGCCAAAACAGATGTTTACTTAAGTTGTTGGTAATGAATAAACAACAGCAGCCTGCACTCTAAGATTTCCGAAATTATAAATGTACAAGGGTTTAATGAAATGCTAATTTACTGCGAGTAAATTAGGGAGGCACCATTCTCTGCCATGCCTGCTTTTTTGTAACATCTTTCCTTTTTTTCCATTAATCATGGGATACATTTGCACCAAACATTCACAAAATGTCAATCTAAATAGCAGGTAGTATAATTTTAAAGTGCATTTCATCATTTGACCTGATGCTTTTGGGTGTAAACATTTAAAACTGCTTTTGATGTCCCTCCTCAACCCCTCTATTTTCTTTCCATTGCCTGACTGAGAATGCATTAACCCAGATTCTTCCAAAGGCCAAATGTTGCTTTTAACAGCTAGCATCATGGGAATTAAGAACAGGATGTTTTATTTACATCAGAGAGCAGCAGAAGTGCAAAATAAGATGAAACCTTTGTAGCCTACACTGTGTGCACCCATTCCCTGAAACTATAAACATGGTAAATACAGTACAGGTATACACAAATATTCTTCCCATTCTTCCATTGAAGTTTATTGCTTTGCATAACCCTTATATACAGTATAATACAAGTTGTGCAGTAGAATCTATTGAAAGCAACAAGCGCAATGGCGATGGCAACCTTGAAAAGCAATCAAAGGCTGAAATGAGGGTGCATTTGTAAATATAACTGCACAGCTAATTAATGCTTTTGGTTCATGTGAAACTGTGAGCTTGATATAGCCAATAACAGATGGTAAAGGGGCTGGAAACATACAGTACACATTGCTTGGCAGTTGTAACTCCACAGGCTGCCTGCAAGCCCCTTTAGTCAGTATTACTAGACTAAATGATTTTCCTCTAAACAGGGAGCCAAAAGGTACAATTCATTTTCAAGATTTTGAGTGTTATGAAATAGCTTTAGTCAATCCATGTTCAGGTACAACACTTCATCTGATGCTACTTTACAATCACAATCATGTTGCTTAGAATTAAAGCCAATCATAAACTGCACTTTTCACTTATCTGGACAAGAATTAATTTGATTTTATTTTCTGGCTCATTTTTCATTCTGTGAAAAATATTAGTTTTAGTCACACTGAAGAATTTTTAAAAATCTCAAAGGAAAAAGCTTAGGTTTATGTGGCAACAAATCTTGTCGCTTGTGTGTTTTAAGCTGGCAAGAAATAAGTTATTATGGGATAATGAAAGACATTATGGAATACTATGAATACTAAAAGGTACTTAAAGTCAATCTTCTCCCTCTCTCTCCTTTTCACATAAGTGTAGGTTTAATTAGCTACGCATAGTGAGAAATAGTGTAATTTATGCTTATTTTGACATTTATTCACAATAGTGTCTTGCACAGAATTTTAGTAGATTTTGCCTATTCAAGACTGAACACTATACATTAAACTATGCATTTAACGTATGCAAGGTTGCAGAAGCAAATAACAACAGTAGCTTGATGTACTGTAAATACAGGTAGTGCTAGTCCTATATTATAGTGTGACATGTCTAATAAGTGAGGCACAGGATGAGTTAAAAGTGAGACATTTTTTGTTCTGTATTAAATAGCAGCTTAACCTGATTTCCTGGCGTGGATATGTAGGTTATGTAGGTCTCTCTTTTCTTCTTCTTCTTCTTTATCCAGGTTAGACAGACAGATGGTTCTCAGCAAGATGTGAGCAGCTATCCATGTACACACATGAGTGTGTGTGTGTGTGTATGTATGTATGTGTGTGTGTGTATATATATATATATATATATGTGTGTGTGTGTGTGTGTGTGTGTGTATGTATTATATACACATTCTGTATACATACTGTATATGCATATAATAATACCGTGGTGGATGAGGAGATACCCCCTGACAGTGTAAAGCGCTTTTGAGTGCCTAGAAAAGCGCTATATAAATGTAACAAATTATTATTATTATTATAAATATCCTTTAAATATTCCCATCGAAGAAGTGAAGTACGTGTTAACAACGTAAGCTCACTACCCAAGAGAAACTCAGGGGTTAATGGAGAGCGGTGAGTTTAGTTTGTCCAGCCTCTGGAGAGTCTGCGAGAACAGTCCCGTCTGAATGAAGGTTACAGACACTCAGAGACAGAGAAGGGGGAAGCCAAACACATCCTGACTGACAGAGAACGATCTGTGAAGAACAAAAAAATCCTAACGCTAGGTACAGATCGGTAAGTGTCACATGACGTTGACTTTCATTAAAAAAAACATTGCGTTTTAACAGTTAGACACTAGAGAAGGGTTTGGGTGACACGTAGCTTGATGGCAAGATGCCCTTATTCTCCGTGCTAAGAGTTCCTATGGATACAAGGAGTCGTCTATTAAGTTCCACAGCTGAAAAGTTTCAGTGAAAGATGTTTGTAAATAAGAGGTAGGGGTTTATTCAGTCCAGTTATGTTTTAGAGATAACGTCCTAGTATGCTTTACGTTCACTAAGTTACGTAGCGGTTTGCTGTGATAGCGGTCGAAGAGCACCTGTCAAAACGTGTCCCTTTAGGCTGTTTACGTTTAAAGGACCGTAATCGTGTAAACATATGTCGTTTCATCAGTATAACGTAAGACCCGGAGCTGCTGACTTCAGACTTCAGAACGCCCCTTCTAACAAAATTACCATGGTAACCTGGGTTTCCGCAAAAATACTAATACAATACATAGTTAGCCTACTACAGTTATTGTTACTACATTTACATTTACATTTAGTCATTTAGCAGACGCTTTTATCCAAAGCGACTTACAAATGAGGACAAAATATAAATGATTATGTCCTTCAAACAATGTAAGTATATTTCTCTTGTTGCAGAATTGGCATTTGAACACTGCAATTATGTCTGTATTATTCAGTGCATTGCAGTATTACTGTAACATTGTAATATGATTTATATGTGTGTGTGTGTGTGTTTAACTAACAGTCATTGAAAACCCCATATTGATTTAAATTACCACTACCAAAACACCAATAATACTAAAATAAGTGAGCAAAGTTCCTCTGTTTCACTCATTTTACCACATCTCACAGAAATAGAAGACGCACAATATTTCCTTCATAAAGCAGTATAAATATTTTTCTCTTAATAAGGTTAAGATGTATTTCTTCACCCAGCTAAGATTGTTCCAGCATTTTAAGGCTTGTGCAGGCAGTTAATGCACACAGTATAGCATTGAATATGAGTGTAGCAGATGTAAGGAGGTTATTAGTTTTGGTGCTCAGTGTTGCATTGAGACTATAATGTAATATTTGATCTCAAAGCTTGTTTCGAATGGCCTGTATAAGATGATTTTATATGAGCTATTTTTGTGTTCTGTGCCTTGATTTGAAACATTTGTGTTTTTTCCCAGTTACTGATAACAAGATCAGAGGAAGATAGACTACTTGTTAACCATACCCCCTTTTTTATTTTAAAGCTTTTATGTTTTAGATTTTCTGCTTATTTATTCATTGCCTGAGCTCCCATAACAAGAAACATTTTATTGTTTGAAACATACTGTAGCTAAATCAGTAGAACTGAACTCTACAACCCTTAACTAAATATAGAATCCTTTAGACTGCTTCTAACATAATTTGACTAATGCAGTTTGACCTCGGTTCAGGATATCGATGCACTTGCAGTGCTAGCAGAGGAACAGTGCATTGTGCCATCCTTACACAGGCTGAGGGAGAAAATCGTTCTCATGAAAGTCAAGAGAGCTTTCTGCATGGAGAGTGTGTGGTCAGTGATTTTCCCCTCATCTCTCAGTGGCTCAATCAAGATTGCTGGACTCATGTCATGACACTGTTATCTTCCAATGCAGTCTGACCTTGTTGCTGTTTGTGCCTGCAGTTGCTGCTTTGAACTACAGAAGGTGTGAGGAAGAACAGGCCTGGAGATAAGCAAACAGTGGTTACTAGGAGAAGGTGAATGTCTTGTGTCACAAAGAGTGCCATC